CCTCCCTTGGGGCCGGGAGATGCCTGCAGAGAGTGGCGCAGCTGCAGACACCCCACAGTGGGGACATTGGGGGCCGGGGACAGGACGCCTGGCTTCTGCCTCCAGTGTCTCGGTTCCAACAAGTGAGTGCTTCGCTCACTGGGAAATGGGGATCACGGTGCCTCTGCAAAGACCTTGGTGGTGATGATCCCACTGAAACAGGCAAGCTGGAGGCAGATGGCCTTGCAGCGATTCTGACCTTAATTTGGATGCAAACCCTCTCAGCTGGACAACCCCTCCCTGTGACATATCCTCCAGCCCAGAGGACCTTGGAGAGAGGATCAGGAGTACCCTGGGGGTCTTCACCTCCTCCTCGCACTGCCATACCTGGAACTGGATCACTTTCTCTGTGGAGAGACACAGGTACATGCGGTCGCTGCCCTGGAACTGGAAGGCACATTTGTGGAGCTGAGAGATGGGCTCGTCCACATCCAGCATGGCATACTGCTTTGTCACCTTCCGGATGATCTGTGGGGCGGCATCAGCGTCCCAGGGCTGGTACCTGTCGCTCAGCAGCACGAGGCAGCCAGCTCCACGGGCATGACGCCTGCAGGGATGGAGGCTTACCAGGGGCGGCAGGGTGATGCCAGTGGCCGTGCAGACAAGCCGGACCACGGAGCCATAGCGGATGTACCCTTCCCGCAGAGGGAACTCACTCCGGGTGCAGCTCTCATCAGCTTGCCGGGAAGGAGAGAAGCAGAGTCAGAACTCTGAGCAGCCAGGGAACAACCTGGGTTGCCCTACCAAGCCCAGGTCTGTCCGTGCTCCTGGTGCTCTCTTACTGCTTTCTCTGCTTGGCAGGTGCTTGGAGAGACCACTGGTTCTGGGGAGCCCAGCGCAGGAGAGTGGGACTGGGATGCGGTACCTTGCAGGGACACTGCAGAGGCAATGTGGGCAGGGATACCCTGGGCTCTTGCCTCTTCCACACAAGTTACTCACTTGGATTTGTGAACCTCCAAACCGATACAGCTCTTGCTGCCTTTTTCACAGCCTATGTGCCCTCAGGACGTGATGCTAACCCTCAAAGCCAGCGGGAAAGAGCCACTGGCTCCAGAGACACACCAGGCAGAGGTGAGACCTGAGTTCCTGCATCCCCAGGCTAATTCCCACCCTGTTCACCCCTGAGAACTGGCTTTGCAGGAGGGGCAGCTGGGGCTGGAGGGCAGCCTGGGCATGGCCGGTGTCAGCAGTCCTGTGAGAGGCTCCTTACCCAGGTGGAGGGTGAAGGCTGCCCACTGCCTGGCGCTGGCGATGAAGGCTCCCCCCTCGACAGAGAGGTAGCGGGTGCTGACGGTCTGGGAGCGTAGGCGGTTGAAGAGGGAGACTTTGGAGCCTGAGGAGATGCAGACTGTGGGGAGAGGTGGCTGGGTTAGCGCAGACTAGGTGTGTGTGCCTTGAACTATGGCTTTGTCAAGTCAAGGGAGGACAAGTCCTGGCTACTGGTGTAACCACACCAGCAGAAACCAGCACCCTCCCTGCTCTGGCTGCTGCTGTCTCTGAGTGCCAGCCCAGCTGGGCTTCTCAAAGGTGAAGCCCATGGAATGGGGAGCATGTTGGCATCAGGGTATTACACATTGTGATGGGTGAACCCTTCAGAAGAGAGATATCATTGTGCCTAGATACATTCCTTCCCTGTTTTTGAGGGTGCTCATAGGTTTTGCATCCAGCCCGGACTGCTGCGGAGTCAAGCTGTGAGCGCTAGGACAGCTTCCCGCCCTGGGCTCGCACAGAGCCACCCCTGTACGCACGGTCCGTGTTCTTCAGAGACTGCTTCTTCTGTGAGGGTTTGGAGATGACCTTGATCAGCTTGCTGTGGAAGGTGCCGATCTCCTGCCCGTTGCTGAAGAAGAGCTTCAGGACCAGGCGGAAATGCTTGCGCTTGTCCGCGTCCGAGATGTACAGAGCCTTGGCGCAGCCGAAGCCCTGCCAAGGGCAGAGAGGGGCTGTCGACAGCTCCAGCCCAGCCCTGCCAGCCTTCCTCACCCTCCTCACCCTCCTCACTGCCCTGCAAGGACATAATAGTGCCCTTTCAAAGAGCCCCGGGTTCGTTTAAAGGGGGAAACGACTGGAGATGTTATTACAGGTGGAATGAAGAGCCGGGGATAGGCAGAGGCTTTATTTACACTGGGAGCAGAGAATTCCTCATGGAAATGAATGTTCACGTGTGATTTATCCCACATAACATGAGAAATGGCCCTGGGTTTATGGTTTCCCCGCCGTCCTGGCCGATACGCCCTGCCCTAGCAGCAATGCAAGCACTGCGGACAAAGGCTCTTTTTGTAAGGTTTCTGGCCTGACTCAGACCCTGCGCTCTTTGGGGACCCCAGATAATATTTTTTTTGTCTTTTTTTTTGTCTTTTTTTTTTTTTTTCTCTTTCTATCAATAGATGCCAGAGATCTGTCCAAGCTCTTGAACTTCTGGATCAATTGGGGTTGGTTTTCTTTTTTTCCCTTTTTTTTTTAGCTGTTTTGTTTAGCAAATGAAAGACTGGGCTTTCATTTTGCGATGAGCAGCAGCACTGCTCATTGGGAGAAGGGACCAGGGCTGTGCAAAATTTTGGCAGCTCACCTGCCAACCTGAAAAGATGGTGCCAAAGGAAAAAGGGGCTCTGAAAGGCAGGGGAGCCTGCTCGGGCTGCTGCAACAGGGCGGCAGAGCAGGGGAGAGGAGGATGGATAGGGATGAAGGACCGCACCACCTCGAGGAAGAGGGTAATGCAACATTCCAGGCTTCCCGCAGCCCCAGGACACAGCGGGCTTTACCTTTGCATCCGGCTGCTCCTCGAAGCTGAGCTTCTGTGTCTCCATCAAGGTGCTGCCCATGCTGTCCAGCCCCATGTACCCGCACACCCGAAAACCTGCCTCTCCTACGTCCCTGGCTGGAAGAGATGGGGAGAAGCACCCTCCAGTCCCCTGCACAGGCTCAGCTCCTCCCGGCACGGTGGGTAGCCTGAGCTCCAGCCCTCCCCGAGTCTGACCAAAGAGAGATCAGCCCTGAGGGGGAAGGAGGAGTTGGTGGGGGCAAAGATAAACTAAGTGGGTCGCTCTCCCCATTGCAGAGGCAGAGGGCAGCCCTCTGTGGCAAGGGTGGGAGCAGCAGTCCAGGGATGCTGCCCAGTGCTTACCTTTCATCTGCTCCTGCTTTAACTTCCAGCCAGGCCCGCTCAGGTAAACACAAGGTGGGGGGCAGAAAAATCTGCAGAGACAAGAGGGCATTTTCTTGTTGCGCTTCAGCGTCCAAAAAAGGTGCTCGAGGGTGACGACATGGCTGTGCTGAGAGAGAAGACCTTCACTGGGGCTGACCACTGTCAGGAACAACCCTCTGCAACACTCGGGAGGTACGTGGTGCTGCAGCGAGGTGCTGGGGACCCCCAGCTGGGGGGGCATGGGCAGGGCTGGCCAGAGGAATCGGGCTTTGCTGAAGCAGCTGGGTCAGACCTCATCCGGCACTGGGTGCCTCCAGCCTGGGTGGCTGCCATCTCTGTCTGTGTTGCTGGTGGCCCCCTGGTCCTGGGATGGCCCCAGGAGGGAAGGACAGGGCACACCAGCCCCCCTCCCTGTCCTGAGCTGATGGAGGATCGGGTCCCCTGCCTCTGCCAGGTGGGAATTTCATCAGGTCAGGAACAGAGTTTGCATTCACAGCCAGGTTCAGAGCCCAACACAAATAAATCTATAGCCAGGGCTTTAGAAACCTATTTTCCTGTGTTTTATTTAGGTTTCCACTATCTTTGCACTTGTGTGAATGGTGCAAATTCATCCTCTATTGATACAGGGCAAAGCACTAGCAAAGAAAACACCAGTGCAGGGGGCTGGATATTGCAGAGCCCCTGAAGTCCTGGGTACAGGTCTGTTTAAACAAGTCATCCACAGCATGGGCCCCTGACTCCCACCATGAAGAAAAACGATGCCAGCACCTTTAAACTTCAACCTGGGAGCTCTGTCCTGGTTTTCTATCCCTCTCCAGACCTGGCATCTGATTTTCACCTTGCTCCCTTGCAAAGTGACTGGAGCCAGGAAAAAAGCCTATTCCAGAGGCTCAGCGATATGAGAGCTTCCATCCTGGCTAGGTGACCCAGTCCCAAAGTAAAACCTTTACCTGTGGACCAGCAGCCCCTGGCAGGAGGTTGGATGTGATGAGGACTTTGTAGGCACATCCAGCCCAGCCTAGAGCTGTGTCCTGGAGTCTCTGGGGTCTGGGTGGGTTATGCCTTAGCGGTAGAGCTCGTCGCCGCATAGCTACTCCACACTTGGTAATAACGCAGGATTATTTATATCACAAAGATTAATGGAGGATTAATTATATTGCAGTGCCACAGTCTGACGTCACTGCCCCAGAGTAGCTATTTTGGAGATTCAAGCCAGAACCTCAAGGTGTTTTTGCAGTGTGGGAAGGATTATCAAAAATAGCAGCATTTTGGAGACCGTGGGCATTGATGGAAATGCCCCAGTCCCAGCTGTGGCTGTTCAGATTTTAAGACAAGATTTTCAGAGCACTTAAAACATTCACCTTTCATGTTGGGGGGTGAGATATGAATAGCATCTTTATTTTATTTCATCCTTCTGCTCTCCAGTACTTCACAGGAGGAACCTAACCATTAGGAATGTCTAGCTGGAATGGGTGCAGGTGGGGGTTAATGTCCTTCTTGTGTTGTTCAGTTCATGAAGAACTAAATGACAGGTTTGGATGCAAAGAGGTGGTAAGCGGATGGAGAGGGGATATGTTCAATCATTTAATTTCGCCAGCTTAGACCAGAAAAATCTAGCAAGCCTGAAATGGAGCTTTAGGAGGCTGGGTTTGGGAGTGGCTATCAGAGAAGCTGGAGCAATCTCCTACCTTTTTTCATTGCCGTATGACTTCTGGGCGACCTTGGCATGCAGTATCAGTACTGTCTGGTCTGCTGGCAGCTGCAGGTACCTCCTCACACCGTCTCGAAGCAGGTTGGTTTGGTATGGGTTGGATCTACAAGACAGCAGGTTGATTTGTTCAATCAAACACACACAGGGCACTACGTCTATAGGTCTGAAATGTGCATGCCTAAGGTTTCCAGTCCCACACAGTGGTAGCAGTGCTCTAATAGATTACTAATTTGGTTTAGCAGCTGATGTGCTTGTTGCTGTATGGCTTTTTGATGAATTGGGAAATGATGCTGCTGAGCTGTGAGTGCAGCTGGGGGAGCTGTCACGCAAGGAGGAGCTGCTTGTTGGCTTCTGCAAAGGCTGTTGGGTGAAGATTGCTGCATTTTTCTCTGAGACCTTAAGAAGTGGGTGGTTTTGCTGATTCTTTCTGCTCTATTAATTAGTTCTCATGCGCTTGGCATTTAGGTCTGCTAACTTAGTAGCTTGGGCGTTAACCAGCTGGAGAGAGATGAGGTGGGTCCAAGCGTGAGGTGCCCTAGGACACGTGTGCAAGAACTGGGGGATGAGGTGGGGGAGAGTTATGAAGTATCTACTGGGGAGAACTTCTGTGATGCTGACTTGCTTTCAGAGAAGGTGAGACTGCCCATCTGAAGAACACCAGCTCCTGTCCTACTGAAAGCCTCTCCATCCCCTAAGCCCCTCAAGCCCCTCTTACCTTCAGCCAAGAGGAGAGGGAAGGGGTGCTGCCTGGGCAGGAGCCCCTCCTTGGCACATCTGCCCATGTTTGGGACAATCCAGAAACTGCTCCTACCAAGGGGACCCAGCCTGGGCTGGTTATGAAATGGTCTTGACTTAAGCCTGAGTTCATGTTTTCCATGTGTTGAGCTTCTTTGCCTTGCTGCAAAGTAACTTACTGCCTGCTGGTATTTGGACAGCAGTTCTGTGCTTCTGCTCTGTGTGCCCAGGGGACATTTTTGGACTCATCTGGATGAACATTAGGCCCAAACTAGATCCAGCATTCTCAGGAGAGAGAAAGCTGTATGGAAACTGGCTTCAGGCTCCAGCTCTTGACCCTCCCAAGGCTGCGGGGGTCACTCGTGACCTCCCCACACAGCGATGGCCTTGCATTGGAGATGGAGAAAAACAGCAGTGGCCAGAGAAAGCTGTGAGGCTCCAACTACAGCCACAAACATATAGCTGTGCCACTGGAAGAAAGTGGCTGGGGACAGTGGGAGGTGCTGGGTGATAGCTCACCCAGAAGTGGTGAGGATGGGAGACATCAGCCATGGTCAGCCTGGGGAAAATCTTGCAAGAGGTACATAGTGAAACACTCCCATTAAAACCAGTTTCTGTCCCTCTTAAATGGGCTAGAAACAGAGAATAATTGAGGGCAGAAACAATCTGGTGTGTGAAGAGAGGTAAATCTGGTCCTGCCAAGCAGGCTGAGGCAGGCAATGGCGAGCTCTTGCTGGGCTCAGAGGCCAGAGCAAGCTCCCCCCGGAGAGAAGCATCAAGCAGCCGTCCCAAGCAGCCTTTTAGAAAAGTTCACCTGCCAATTCTGTTCTTCCCAGTGCAACACAGGTGTTTTTAAAAAGCTATGCTCTTTACAGCTTCTAGGACCCACATTACAATACACTTTAAACGTATATCACTTCCAGCTTTCTCCACAATGCGGATGGAGCTGATGCTCTCCTGTTTGTGAGTGGAAGACAAACACACCTCCCATACAAGCAAATATTTACCCAGAGTCTCCTCTGGGTAGTCCCACGGGTACCTGCTGCTTTGCACTCCACAGATTTTCCCATCAGTGCTCTGTTGGGTTTTTAGATGGGTGATACAACCTCCCACCCTCCTTGTTATCAGTTCCTTATCCTAGACACATTTGCGGTTCACCAGCAAGCATAAATCAACAGAGCTCTGCCAAAACCAGATTTACAGCCGGTGCTAGTGTCACTCACAGCACCAGCTGCTGCTCTGGGTCTGGGAAATGCATGTTTTATGGCCATGGCAAGCCTGTTCCCGACATCAGAGCCCGCACCGCAGCCCCAGCCCTGCCAACAGCACATGGCTCCCGGCACCTATGGCGAGGGCAGAGGGAGATCCTTTGCCAGATGGACCCTCAGATGGGCCTTAACAGCTCCTGTGCTGAGGCTGGATCTGTTCCCTCCAGCCGTCCGTCGTGGGGCTGGCATGCTCCTGCTCCAGCATGCTGAAGTTGAGCTGTATCAACCGGCATCCCACCAGTGCCAGCTCCAGGGTGGGTTACTTAGTACTGCTGAAAAGCTTCACTCCAGTCTTTCTATCTACTGAATGGTTTACATCTTCACGTGGCCATAGAGATTCTATCAGAAAGTTATTTAATCTGTTTCCAGAATGGTAACATGCAGCTCTCTTGCTCCTCTGCTGCCAAGCACTAGTGTGATCTCAGCTTTGATCCGCCTTTGCTGTTTTTCCCTTCATCTAGAAGCACCATTTGGGACTCTCTCTGCAAAAGCCTCTTTTTATTTTTTTCTTCTTTTTTTTTAACAGAACTAGTGATTGTGATCAGGATAAACGTGGTAACGGATTGAGGAAAAGGCTATCCATTAGCCTGACCCTGGATATTCTTCTATACTAATGCAACACAGTGAAAAATGAGTGCCAAACCTTGCTGGCTCCGCTCAGTAGCATTCTGCCCTCAATTTATCAGAGACAACGGGCACGGAGCAGAGGAGGACCAGGCTGGAGGTGTGAATTTTCTCCTGGTGAGTCTCATCATCCGGTATTCAGTGCAAAATGAGGAGTGTAGCTTTAGGTCCTTACTCGTGTCTCAGCTGTGGGGACACATGCCCCACTCCTGTCAGTGTCACCCACCAGCACAGACGTGCTCACAAGCCCATCCTATGGCTTGGGGTCCTCCAGGAAGCACCCATTCCCTTGCAGCTGCTGGGAGGGAGCCTCTCCCATTAACCCCTCGGTGGGGTAAGGAACAGCCTGGTACTGAGGCCAGGCAGCAGCAGGGAGTGTTCCCGAGCAAATTGCCAAAACCTGTGGATTAAGACGTGTGCTGACAGCATGGCCAGCAGCAAAGCCTGCTCCGCAGAGCCTCCCTCGGCACTGGCTCGGGGCAGGGCCAGGCTTGTGCAGGTATCACTGCTCCCTGCCATCCGTACGTAATACCAGAGGCACGTGGGTTACTGCCTGTAGTTTATCAAAGAGCTTTCTGGAATAATTATCCACATGCTATTTACTGCTTAAAGTGGGCACGTGCATGCCAAAGGCAGGTAAACAGACCACAGTTTTTCAGATCTGATGGCTAGCTGGAGGAACAACTACCTAGAAACTTGTTTTTCTTTTATTTGCCTGTTCTCTGCAGCCGTTAACTTCCAAATTTTGGGGCTAAATTGTTTCAGTGACGCACTTCTTAACAGTGCTCGCCATTCTGCCCACTGAGGTGACCACCCAGCATCCCTCACCTGGTTTAAATTTACCTTCAGAGAGTCAAAGGGCTATTGCTAAAGCAGCTCAATCTATCCACTTGGCTCCTTCTGGCACCTACAGCCTCCTCAGGGTTACAGGGAACTATTCACTCCTCCTGACATTTATTATATTAAATTATTAAAATGCTTTGATTGTAGTGCAGTGTTAGTTTAGTGTCGTGTTAGCAGCACCGCAGAGGCCAGGCTCTTAGAGCTCCCGCTAAAAGCCTCCTTTTCAGAGCCTCAGGTCTCAGCTGGGACTCGGCTGCTCTTGCACACAGTTGGGCATTATGTGCAAGCAGGGGGGGAGCAAGGGAGGAACCACCACCTTTCTCCTACACTGCTTTTTTTAAGTCTCTCCCCCTTGCTTGCTCACCAAGCCTGGTCCCTTGTTTTAGATCAGGATGTGGCTCAGGAGAGGGTGTGAGCACCCAGTGAGGTGCATCTCTGGGGTGGCCTAGCCCCGGTGTTGGAGGAGAGAGAGATCTAGGGCACCTGGGGGTGCTTGCAAGCCCTGGCTGTGTTATCGTGCCCTCTTCCACGGGAAATGAAGCAAAAAAGGAGAGGTGCCCTGTGTGCTTTTCACAGGACACACACACAGCCTGACCATTTTGTGAAGGACTGTTTCATGTGGGCACACAGGGAACCCAGGCAGGCCTCGAGAGGCTTTGGTGGGGCCGGACCCTGCAGTCACCTCGCTGATTTTAGAAGAGCTGATGTTTAACACCGCAGCTGAAAACTAGCCCTCACCTTCCCAGCAGCAAGCGTGGGGGGCATCACTTCACTCTTTGTCCTGCCTCCAGCCAGGAGAGGCATTTTCTCCTTCCTCTGTGCTGGTGGGTCAGGCAGGGCTGTGCTTTGTGCAAGAAGGCAGCTTGGTGCACCCCGAGGTGGGACATATCGCAGTCCTCGCATCACCTTCTGCTCTGCAAGGGCAGGTCAAGCCAGGGACTCCCTCAACACCCCGTGTGTGCAGAAAAAGCACTTTACGGGCACAGAGAGAAGCAAACCACTTTCTGTGCTGCTGCTTTCCAAGTTCTCTGACGTATACCAGCTCAACCTGCAGAGGAAGGGATCCTATTTTTTCGGTCCCCTGGGAATGAAAGTACCTGACTCAGGAGACCAAAATACGATCCCTGCAGCTATTGTTTAGAAACTGGGTCTTCAAATCAGCTCTTTACACAAGAACTTTAACTCACAGTAACAGTGTCCTCAAGTGCAGCGCAGAGATTTAATTTGCTGCTCTTCCTCCACAAAGGAGCTGCTCGTCTCCCTCGCTCAGGAGGCGGCTGCCCTGCAGCTTGCTGGGGACTTGCTGCCACAGAGGGCAACTGTTCTTTCCTCAGCTTCGGGAAACCAAATGCCCTAATAAAAAATATCCATTTTAGAGGTCTAGGTTATATTGTGTACAGAGCAGGGGAGAAAATGCCTGTAGTGCTCTTGGGTATGGAGTCAATGCAATGTTTATGCAAAAGGAAAAGCCATTAGAATCACAGAAATGAGAAGCCTGCAGTTTCTGGCTTCCCTCATTTTTCAATACCTCCTTTAATCCAGATGAACCCAACCCACAAGACCTTATATATGCATGGGTATTTATAAATCCTATATTTTCCTCACTGCACACACAAGTGAAATTCAGCCTTTT